TGAGACTTTCCAGTTTTGAAAAAGGGTATTAAACGGTTAAAGGTCTCCCACGCGCAAAATACCTTTTCACGATCCGCTGCCGCGGCAGAAACAGTAGAGCTTACAAACAAAGGTGTCTTTTTCCTTCCTCTTTTTAAAGCTGTCTGTATCTTACAGTTGGGGGAATGTTTTAACCTCACGACATGCACTCCTCTGATCCTAAAGAACATTTCAGCTGACACTTTTGTTCTGACACAAAGTGATATTACACGCTCGGTAGCACATCGCACTCAGAAAGTACTCGACAACTGGGATTTGGGAGGAATTGCCGGTTCTGGCATATATTTTTTTTCATTTTAGAAAGGACAAATTTAGAAATGTAAGAGAGTCAATTTGGTCTGGTAGCCAAAAAAGCAGGAGACGGTGAGTTCTAGTTCTGCTTTAGGCATGAAAACCTGTTGGGTGACTTTGGGCCAATCAGCAGGAGTGAGTGAGTTCCAGTCTCACTTTAGGCATGGAAGTAAATTGGGTCACTTCGGGCCCATCGCTAGAAGACTGTGAGTTCTAGTCCCGCTTTAGGCATGAAAACTGACTGGTTGACTTTTGGCCAGTCGCTAGGAGATGGTGAATTCTAGTCCTACCTTAGGCATGAAAGCCAGATGGGTAACTTTGGGCCAATCACCAGGAGATGGTGAGTTCTAGTCCCACCATAGGAATGAAAGCTGTCTGGGTGACTTTGGGCCAATCACCAGGAGACGGTGAGTTCTAGTCCCACCATAGGAATGAAAGCTGACTGGGTGACTGAGTCCCTTTTCCCCAATGCTGTTGTAACCCCAAACGGTCACTAAATGAACTGCTGTAATGCGAGGACCCCCTGTATTTTGGAAATCAAACGAATGAATTGAGGTGCTTGGACAAAAATCTCATAACATCCGCTGTGAGACCCAGCCATCCGGTTGAAGCTACAGTACCCCTTGGACTCAAGGAGATCAGTTGATCCCTCTTTTGCAATTAATGCAAAATGAACGAAATTACTTTTTCTTTTTTAAACTTAATAATTTCCCAAGGATACATTTCCTGGGGGAGCGATTTTAAAGCTCTCCAGACCTCGCCTTCGATCTTCAACTTGTCTCAGGGCGAGGCGGAGAGCAAGGCTCCGAATAACACTTCACACGCTTCAGGCATGTTCATGCATACGTAGATGAGTCTTTCTGGTCCGGCATGGATTCCCCAGACGAGCATTCAGGTGGCGTCGGAGAGCCTGGAATTAGGGACTCAAGTCAAGTGTTCAAGCCCATCACCGGACTCTGATGAATTCACGAAGAGCCATAAATAAGTCATACGCCGTGATTGGGAAGAGGACGCTCTTAACGGGGTCTCTAAGATTTTAGGTCGGTATTAAATGGAAATATTGAAAATATTAGAAAGAGTACAGAGAAGAGCAACGAAGATGATCAGGGGACTGGAGGCTAAAACATACAAGGAACGGTTGCTGGAATTGGATATGTCTAGTTTAACGAAGAGAAGGACGAGGGGGGACATGATAGCAGCGTTCCAATATCCCAGGGGTTGCCCCAAAGAAGAGGGAGTCAAGCTATTCTCCAAAGTGCCTGAAGGCAGGACAAGAAGCAACGGATGGAAACTAATCAAGGAGAGAAGCAACCCTAGAACTAAGGAGAAACTTCCTGACAGTTAGCACAATTAACCTGCCTCCAGAAGCGGTGAATGCTCCAACACTGGAAGTTTTTAGGAAGAGACTGGACAGCCATTTGTCTGAAATGGTGTAGGGTTTCCTGCCTGAGCAGGGGTTGGACTAGATGACCTCCAAAGTCCCTTCCAACTTTATTATTATTATTATGGATCATCTCACAATCAGCCAGATGTTCAGACTGGATTTGGCATTTTGTCTACCTATCGAGTCCTTACCCAGGACCTGGGATAGGCAGATGTGGATGTTTGATGGTATTACAGGTATCGTCGCAGGATGGAAGCAGTCCCTAGTAAGGCCGCCTTTTGCAATTGACTAATAGCGAATTTGTCAATGCCAATGGTGTTCAAGTGGTGCTCCAATTGTTTTGGGATTGCACCCAAGGCGCCTATGACTATTGGTACTACCCTTGCTTGTTTTTGCCACAGTCTTTCTGCTTCTATTTGTAGGTCTTTGTATTTTGTTATCTTCTCCAGTTCTAAGGACAATCTCATCAAACAGCTAAAACATACAAAGAACAGCCGCATGATTTGGGTATGGCTATTCTAGAGAAAAGAAGGACCAGGGGGTGACATGATAGCAGTGTTCCAATATCTCAGGGGCTGCCCCAAAGAAGAGGGAGTCAAGCTATTCTCCAAAGCACCTTGAAGGCAGGACAAGAAGCAACGGATGGAAACTGATCAAGGAGAGAAGCAACCTGGAACTAAGGAGAAACTTCCTGACAGCTAGAACAATTAACCAGTAGAACAACCTGCCTCCAGAAGCGGTAAATGCTCCAACACTGGAAGTTTTTAAGAAAAGACGGGACAGCCATTTGTCTGAAATGGTATAGGGTTTCCTGCCTGAGCAGGGGGTTGGACTAGATGACCTCCAAGGTCCCTTCCATCATCATCATTATTATTATTGTTATAGGCAGCTCTTCGTGCCATTGAGGAGACACGATGGACGGTGAGCTTAAAACCATAAGCCATCACTCTGCATATCTCTCATTATTAAATTGAATTATTGTTTGATTTGCTGCCAGCTCTTGCGGCTGTCCGTTTACCTCCTCTTTCCTTAACATAGCCATGCCTCTGCAAAATGAGATTTATTTACTGATTAAAATAATACGCAGAAAGGAGACACTCTCTTTTTGTGGCCAGTCCTCTCTCTTTTAACTGAGTTGCGATGTATTTACGCTGGTGCTGCCACCCGCTGCTCAGGGATAGAGAGCTGACACAATTAAACAGAATTGCTGAAATATTTATCACTATCTAAACGTTATTACATCCCCTAAGAAGGTCACCTTAAACACTGGGCGAGCTGTAAATTGGAAATATTGCAGTAGACACCCGTTTGTGCCCGATCTTTGAAACGCACCGGAGTTGGATATGACTCAGTGGAGACCAAATCATTAAAGTATTTAGCAATCCCAGGGTTACAGCTGGCAAGGAAAAAAATCCCCTTTGAGTTTTGAGGTTGACGCTTCAATTGCCCCGTGGACAGAGCGGTCATATTTCTAGGGATTGCTAATTTAATTGACTGTTATTGCAGGAGAAATTTAGAATCATATCCAAGGGGTCTTCTTCAAAATCAATTTCGCCCGCCAAGGCTTTGGCTGAATCCCTTCGTCTTGATCTCATTTTGCTAAATGCAGACTCTTCCTTTCACTCTTCTGCTTTCGTAGTTCATCATTGGGGCTCACTCCTTCTTCCATCTCCTGTTTTTTTTTAAGAGAAAAGCTATCTTCTTGTATTATAAATATTTAGAATAGAATAGAATAGAATAGAATAGAATAGAATAGAATAGAATAGAATAGAATAGAATAGAACAGAACAGAACAGAATAGAATAGAATAGAATATGTGGAATGGAATGGAATGGAATGGAATGGAATAGAATAGAATAGAATAGAATAGAATAGAATAGAATAGAATAGAATAGAATAGAAGGAATAATAGAGTAGACTAGAATAGAATAGAATAGAATAGAATAGAATAGAGAACAGAATGGAGTAGAGTATAGAATAAGAAGGAAGAATAGGAATAGAATAGAATAGAATATAGAATAAGAAGGAAGAATAGAATAGAATAGAATAGAATAGAATATGTGGAATGGAATGGAATAGAATAGAATAGAATAGAATATATGGAATGGAATGGAATGAAATGGAACAAAACAGAATAGAAAATATGGAATGGAATGGAATAGAATAGAATAGAATAGAATAGAATAGAATAGAATAGAATAGAATAGAATAGAATAGAATAGAATAGAATAGAATAGAGCTGGAAGGAAAGCTCCCCCCCCCCCCGAAGCAGGAGAACCTATATCATCTCAGACAATTGATTGTCTAGTCTCTTATTAAAAATCTCCAGGGATGGAGCATCCACGATTTCTGGAGGCAGGCTGTTCCACTGGTTAATTGTCCTCACCGTCAGGAAGTTTCTCCTTAATTCCAGGTTGCTTCTCTCTTTGGTCAGTTTCCAACCATTGTTTCTCGTCTTGCCTTCTGGTGCTTTGGAGAATAACGTGACCCCCCTCTTCTTTGTGGCAGCCCCTCAAATACTGGAATGCTGCTATCATGTCACCCCCTGGTCCTTCTTTTCTCTAGAATAGCCATACCCGAATCATGCGACTGTTCTTCATATGTTTTAGCTCAGTGTTTCCCAACCTTGACCATTTTAAGGTGTGTGGACTTCAACTCCCAGAATTCCACAGCCAGCAGTGCTGGCTGTGGACTTCTGGGAGTTGAAGTCCACACGCCTTAAAATGGTCAAGGTTGAGAAACACTGTAAAAAATTTAGCTGTTTGATGAGATTGTCCTTAGAATTTGACCCGAGGTAAATCTTACACGGAGCAATGTACAAGGTAATCCTCGTTTTAAAAATGGTTCATTTCGTAACTGTTCGAAGTAACCGGGGTACTGAAAAAAAATGACTTAACGAGCGTTTTTCCCGCACACACACACACAGCCCTGGCCGCACCTCACGGTCCTGTGTGATAATAATTCTGATTTTTGGCAACCGACTCCGATTTAGGACGGCTGCAGTGTCTCCAAGTCACACGCGATCCCCTTTTGCGACTGTCTGAGAAGCAAAAGTCCATGGGGAAACTGGATTCACTTCACGACCGTTTTCCTAATTAAACATCTGCGGGGATTCACCGAAGAACTGTGGCATAAAAATGGAACAAAACTCACTTTAAGCCCTGTCGCGCTTAGCAACGGAAATTTGGGTTCGAAGTGCGGTCGTAATGCGAGGATTCGCAGTATTGATACGTAACGGCTTTGGGAAAGAACTAAATCGACCTTTATTTATTTATTTTGTTCAAAGGTATCGGCTGTGAACTCCTTGGAAGGACCCCTCCTTCAGGTGGAGGGACTAAGTGACCTCAGGCTGGAACTTCACAGCAAAAAGATGAATATGCACTTGGTTCTGATCGATGAACTCCACCGTCATCTTTACATCAAGTCCACCAGCAAGGTTGGACAACGGAGTAAAGAAAAGGGGAGAGTAAGGTCCGTCTTGTTTATGCGTTCGTTTAGCCCAGGGGTAGGCAACCTTGGCTCTTTTACGACCGGTGGACTTCAACTCCCAGAATTCCTGAGCCAGCCGTGCTGAGGGGAAAGGGAGAGGTTTCCAAGCTGAGCCATGCTGGCCCAGGAATTCTGGGAGTTGAAGTACACCAGTCATCAAGGAGGCCATAGTTCCCCCATGCTGGCTCAGGAATTCTGGGAGTTGAAGTCCACGAGTCATAAAAGAGCCAAGGTTGCCTACCCTTGCTCTAGGGTAGGGGTGTTCAAGCTTGGCTCTTTTATGACTGGTGGACTTCAACTCCCAGAATTCCTGAGCCAGCTGTGCTGAGGGGAAAGAGAGAGGCTTCCAAGCTGAGCCATGCTGGCTCAGGAATTCTGGGAGTTGAAGTCCACAAGTCAAAAAAGGGCCATGTTTGAAGACCCCTGGTACATGGGTAGGCAACCTTGGCTCTTTTATGACTCGTGGACTTCAACTCCCAGAATTCCTGAGCCAGCCACGCTGAGGGGAAAGGGGGAGGTTTCCAAGCTGAGCCATGCTGGTTTGAGGAATTCTGGGAGTTGAAGTCCAGAAGTCTTAAAGTTGCCAAGGTTGAGGACCCCTGATATAGGACAGGGGTGGGGAACCTTGGCTCTTTTATGACTGGTGGACTTCAACTCCCAGAATTCCTGAGCCAGCCACGCTGAGGGGAAAGGGAGAGGTTTCCAAGCTGAGCCAGGCTGGCTCAGGAATTCCGGGAGTTGAAGTCCAGAGTCATAAAAGGGCCAAGTTGCCTATCCCTGATTTAGCCACTCCTCTCCTAATTGCAACTCCATTAATGCAGGAATACGACTGTCTTCCTACCTCAAATAAAATGAAATTTGGGCCGAGCTGTATAAGCCAACTCAACCTTGAAAAAAAGCCACCCATCGTTCTAGGGAACCAATAAACTCTCATTACTTTCCCTTTCCAGAGTCCAACCTTGGGAAGTCTGGGGGGGGGGGGTGATGGTGGTGTCATTTTGATGACTATTTGATGGCTGGCCGTGTACTTTTTTGCGGGTTTTTTTAGATACAAAAACCTTCAAGAGGTCTTTTGAGACTGTGTCAAAGTTACAACACCGTGCAATCATCATGTTGTGGGCTCATGAGCTACAAAAATGCTATAAGTCGTAACATTGGAAGGGATCTTAAGGGCTGCTGACCCCCAGTTCCCTGGTCAGCTCAGAGACCACCAAGACTCCACAGTTCTCCTCCTCCTCCTCCTCCTCCTCCTCCCCCGCAAATTCCACTCCTTTCGAGCACTGATGATGTTCCCTAGTTGGGTCATGCAATGTCTTGCAAGCAAACCAACCAGCTTAGGGAGCATCAAGGACTCCACTGTTCAGTCCTGAGCTACAAATATTTTTTTTTCTGTTAGTCTGGGAGGAGTTTAAAGTTGGAGGCTTCCCCTTCTGGTTTGTGAGTCTTCATGTGAAACAGACCCTAGGCAATGTATTTATTTCATTTATTAAAAATACTTCATAGCCGCTCATCTCTGAACCGAGTCTGGGTGACCCCCAACCAAACGGCCTATAAAAGATTAAAACAATAAAAAACAACAACAACGGAGCTTTGTGAGTACTTCCTCCTCCTCCTCAGATAATTCCCTCGGGGATGTAGAGGCTTGCCACGTTAGGGAACCTTTAATCTTCTCATTTACATTTCTGCCATTTGTGAATGCTTGCTGGAGTTCTCTTGGCTCACAGTGGCTAAGTTTAATTTCCTCTCATTGCAGTTCGCATGTGAAGGAGGCCTCTGCTCTGCCTCTTCTCGACGTTACTAACTTATCCACGCCTCGCAAGTTTGACTCCGCTCAATTTAGCAGCGGTGAGTGATAAAATAATCATCTCTCTCTCTCTCTCTCTCTCTCTCTCTCTCTCTCTCTCTCTCTCTCTTTCTCTCTCTCTATCTCTCTCAGCCTCTCTCTGCTGCTATATCTATCTATCTATCTATCTATCTATCTATCTATCTATCTATCTATCTGTCTGTCTGTCTATCTGTCTATCTATTTATCTATCTATTATCTATCTCTCTGCATCTATCTGTCTATCTATCTATCTATCTATCTATCTATCTATCTATCTATTATCTCTATCTCTCTGCATCTATCTATCTGTCTATCTATCTATCCATCCCTATCCCTATCCCTATTCCTATCCCTATCTCTCTATCTCTCTAATGGGCCCTAAGAAAGTCTTTGGGCTTGAGGCTCAAGCAACTGTTTTACGATTCGGGTTTGGTCTTTCTTACATTTTAGGAAGAGAAGTTAGCTTGATGGAAATCAAGGAAGATTTAGAGCTGGATCCCGAGGAGAACAGCTCGGCCTTCATGGGCATTCTCATCAAAGGACTGGCCAAACTGAGAAAAATTCCAGAGACCATCAAGGCCATCCAGGATCGTTTAGAGCAGGAGCTGAAGCAAATTGTCAAGAGGTCTAGCACCCAGGTGGCAGACGGTGGCTACCAGAGAGGGGAGAACGTAGTCCAGGAAAATCAGCCCAGGTAAGACCTACCCATCCCTCCCTCCCTCCCTCCCTTCCTTCCTTCCTTCCTTCCTTCCTTCCTTCCTTCCTTCCTTCCTTCCTTCCTTCCTTCCTTCCATCCCTCCTTCCCTTCTCTCCTTCCTTCCTCCCTCCCTTCCTTCCTTCCTCCCTCCCTTCTCCCTCCCTCCCTTCTCCCTCCCTCCCTTCTCTCCTTCCTTCCTTCCTTCCTTCCTTCCTTCCTTCCTTCCTTCCTTCCTTCCTTCCTTCCTTCCTTCCTTCCTTCCGCACAAATAAGCAAGGCCCTGTCCGTGGGATGCAGGCAGCACACAAACCCACACATTCTCCAGTCCGTGGGAAAACGTTTCTCCATGGAATTGGCCCCTGGCGCCCAAAAGGTTGGGGACCTCTGCTCTAAGACAGAGGTCCCCAATCTATGGGCTGTGGCCCACTGCCGGGCCGTGGCCTCTTGGCCATTAGGCCGTGTGAGTGGCTGGCCAGTGTGTGCGCACGTGTGTGTGCGTGCACACGCTCAAGCCCCCCTTTCGCCGGCGCTAGCCAAGCCGTGAGTTGAGAGCCGGTGCTAGCCGAGCCATGAGCTGTGAGCCTCTCACCGGTGCTAGCAGCCCCATTTACAGAGTGTGCATGCTCGCTGCCCTGTTTATGCGCATGTGGACGCAGCCACATTAGCGTCTGTGCAAATGCACGCATAAATGTACCTGTCCCTCCTTTTCCCACCAGGCCGCCAACACAGAAAGGTTGGGGACCCCTGATGTAATACCGTCTCCTGGTGATTGGCCCAAAGTCTCCCAGCTGGCTTTTCTGCCAAAGGAGGAACTAGAACTCACCGTCTCCTGGTGATTGGCCCAAAGTCACCTAGCCGGTATTCATGCCTAAGGCAGGACAGGGTTTTCATAGCGCCTAGAATGAAGAAGACCCTTCCAGTACAGAAAGTCCTCGAACTTATTTGTTTGTCAAAAGGTCACGAAACCCCGGGACCTTGCAACCGTCATAAATATGAACCGTTTGCCAAGCATCCGAATTTTGATCACGTGACCACGGGACACGCTGCAACAGTCGCAGGTGTGGGAAACGGTCCTAAGTGACTTTTTTCCCAGCGCCTCTGTCACCTTGAACGGTCCCTAAACGAACAGTTGTAAGCCGAGGACTCCCCGCACGGAAGGAACGTTTTTGCTTCGGCATTTAGTGAGGATGGGATCACTTTCCGTTCACTTGCCACATCCTTCTCAGGAGAGTAAACAGCAAGAGGTTTTTTTTTTTCCAAATGGTTCTCTTCTCTGAGTAATTTCCTGTGACAAGTCCCTGCCAGACCCTAAAATATTTATGGGTTTGGCTACGGCACATTAATTAACAATAATTGGGTTCCTAAAAAGGCATAGGGAGAGGTAATTGAGGCGGGGCCTTTGATAAGGACGGAGAAGGAAGTACCTTGTCATAAAAACATGATAATTGCTCAGCGGATATGTACCCCCAGGCTTCAGGTGTCCCTTTCATTCGTAGAGCTGACGGCCCCTTCCCGTTGTAATGTTGCGGACGCCGAGGTGCTTAACAACTTGCAGAGCATATTATCTTACTAAAATCTGTACTTTCGTTAGGTTTTATTAACTTCACTTAGGCTTAGATCAGTGGTTCTCAACCTTTTTAATGCCGCGACCCCCAACCGGTCGTAAGTCGAGGACTACTCAATCGGTCATAAGTCGAGGACTACTCAACCGGTCATAAGTCGAGGACTACTCAACCGATCGTAAGTCGAGGACTACTCAACCGGTGCAGCACCGTTTGCAGACTGGGACTTTTGGTGGGCTCAGCAGGGCAGAGACAGCCTGGACAATTCCTATTGGCTTTTGAAAGCCAATAGAATTAGACTCTATTCAAGAGAGTCTATTCTATTGGCTTTCAAAAGCCAATAGAATAAAAGGGAGTAGCACAGCTAAGGAAAAGGGGGAAAAAAATGGCGGACTGCGTTGTTTGGCGACCCCCGTGAAATGGTTGTTTGACCTCAAATGGGGTCCCGACCCACAGGTCGAGAATCACTGGCTTAGACGGAACAACGGGACAGGACCAGATTTAAAGGCCTGAGAAAAACTGGAAAATATTTTAATGGGTGTGAGCGGAGGTACTTCCGAAGCCCTTTTCAGAACATTTGGAAGGAATTGTAAAATTTTCTGTTAGCTGCGAAATACTATAACAACAACAACAACAATAATGTTGGAAGGGATCTTGGAGATCATCTAGTCCAGCCCCCTGCTCAGGCAGGAAACCCTATACCATTTCGGACAAATGGCTGTCCAGTCTCTTCTTAAAAACTTCCAGTGTTGGAGCATTCACCACTTCTGGAGGCAGGTGGTTCCACTGGTTATTTGTTCTCACTGCCAGGAAATTTCTCCTTAGTTCCAGGTTGCTTCTCTCCTTGGTTAGTTTCCATCCGTTGCTCCTTGTCCTGCCTTCAGGCACTTTGGAGAATAGCTTGACTCCCTCTTCTTTGTGGCAGCCCCTGAGATATTGGAAGACTGCTATCCTGTCCCCCCTCGTCCTTCTTTTCATTAAACTGGACATACCCAATTCCAGCAACCGTTCTTCATATGTTTTAGCCTCCAGTCCCCTGATCAACTTTGTTGCTCTTCTCTGAACTCTTTCTAGAGTCTCAACATCTTTTCTACATCATGGTGACCAAAACTGGATGCAGTATTGAAAGTGTGGCCTTACCAAGGCATTGTAAAGTAGTATTAGTGATCCTGATTCTATCCCTCTGTGAATGCAGCCTAGCACTGTGTTGGCTTTTTTGGCAGCTGCAGTGCACGGCTGGCTCGTCCTGTGGTCATGTGACCACATTTTGCCCCCCCCCCCAAAAATAATAAAAAAATGGATTTGCACTTGGGACCACCACATTTGCTGAACTATCTCTGCAAAAAAGAAAAGTCATAAAATCAGGTTGGTCATTGACCGCCCCCATTTGCAGCTGTAATGGTCATAACTTCATAAACTGCCCATATCTCTATTACAGTTGTAGCTCAAGGACTACCTCACAGTCGTAACTTGAGACTCCCTATCGCATAAAACGGCGTCCTCCTCGTACATTTAAAACACACATGATGAAAGGAAATCTTCCTCTCTATAAGTGCTCTAAGTAAGAAATATCTGTTTTATTTGTTTAGAATAATGAGCAGAATGCCTTTGAAAGGCAGATGGGAAGACCCGTGTAAAGTTGCCCTTTATATCCTACAAGACATTGGTAATTATTTTGTGTAACAATGCATAATAATCTCCAGTAATGTTACATTATGTATAATTTAACCTATTGTGCATGGAGGACATGATGGATGTTAGAAATTAATATGCGACTGCAAACGAATGAATCTTAACGCCAGCAACGGAGCCCTTTGGTTCTCTAAAATCTATAAGGATAAAAAAAGAAAGAAAGAAAGAAATGAATAGAGTTTTCAGAAGCCGTGGTCAAAAAAAGGAGCTTGAATTAGTAAGGTTTTCTGAGGTATGTAATTTATTACACGTGTGGCATAATGTGGAATTTATAGGTCTGACTTTGTTCGCTGATACTCTACTTGTTTCAGTGATAAATACTGTTACATAACAACATTAATTAATTTACTGGTTGCTTTTAGCACTGAGTTAGATTTATTGCTCTCAAAATACAGGGCATTGCCCTCGGTAGCGCACAGAATACATATTATTAGCTGCCCATAGTTGTTGGGGGTTGGGTAGCATACAGATTTAATACTGCTAAATATCACACTATCCTACTTTTGATTTCAAGGGAAAGAGGCACAGGAGATAATGTTATATGGTTCACCAATATTAATCTCTGAGGGAAAAGATTAATCTCTCAGGGAGCCAGTTTGGTCTAGAAGCCAGGAGACGGTGAGTTCTAGTCCTGCCCTAGGCATGAAAACTGGCTGGGTGGGGCAATCGCCCAGGAGACGGTGAGTTCTAGTCCTGCCTTAAGCATGAGAGCCAGCTGGATGGGTCAGTCGCCCAGAAGACGGTGAGTTCTAGTCCCGCTTTAGGCCTGAAAACTGGCTAGGTAGGTCAATTGCCCAGGCGATGGTGAGTTCTAGTCCCGACTTAGGCATGAAAACTGACTGGCTGGGTCAGTCACCCAGGAGACAGTGAGTTCTAGTCCAGCCTTAGGCATGAAAACTGGCTGGATGGGTCAATTGCCTAGGAGACTGTGAGTTCTAGTCCTGACTTAGGTATGAAAACTGGCTGGATGGGTCAATCGCCCAGGAGACGGTGAGTTCTAGTCCCTCCTTAGGCACAAAAAACTGGCTGGGTGATCAATCGCCCAGGCGATGATGAGTTCTAGTCCCACCTTAAGCATGAAAACTGGCTGGGTGGGTCAGTTGCCCAGGCAACAGTGAGTTCTAATCCTGACTTAGGTATGAAAACTGGCTGGGTGAGTCAATTGCCCAGGCGAAGGTGAGTTCTAGTCCCGACTTAGGCATGAAAACTGACTGGCTGGGTCAGTCACCCAGGAGACAGTGAGTTCCAGTCCCTCCTTAGGCACGAAAACTGGCTGGGTGGGTCAGTTGCCCAGGCGACGGTGAGTTCTAGTCCCGCCTTAGGCATGAAAACTGACTGGTTGGGTCAGTCGCCCAGGAGACGGTGAGTTCTAGTCCCTCCTTAGGCACGAAAACTGGCTGGGTGATCAATCGCCCAGGCGACGGTGAGTTCTAGTCCCGCCTTAAGCATGAAAGCTGGCTGGGTGGGTCAGTTGCCCAGATGACGGTGAGTTCTAGCCCCGCTTAGGCATGAGAGCCAGCTAGGTGGCTTTGGATTGGTTATCTTTGGGCTTCCCGGTTATGGCATACATTCCCCAATTCCACCAGCTTCTGACTTGAAACTGGGATTGTACGAAGGATCTGAACGATTTATCTTCCACTCCAAATTAACGACAGTCCCCACTTCGTTGTGGCTCTTTAAAGAAATTAAAATCGTTTTATTACCGCACCCTTTCAGTCACGGGGGACCGACTCTGGGTCCCTATCTTGGGTTTTATCTCTGCTTTTAATGTGGCTTTTTGGTTTTGATATTGATAGGGATTTAATTCTTTATTACTATGGTTTTGGGGTGCGTTTTCAAGGGACAACTGGACTTCCTTTGTTTTTCCTTGGAAGACGTTTCCCTTCTCATCCGAGACGCTTGATCGGTTCTGACCGAATGATGGGGAATGGAAGGACTTATATTCCTTGCATCTGGTCATCTGGTCATTAGTACTCTCTCTGAGAGTCGTTCAGGCCACTGGGAGATTTATCTGTGCCCTCAGAGTCACCCGAATAGTGCAAATAACAGGTGTGGAACAAGGCCCCTAGAACAGTGGTTCTCCACCTGTGGGTCCGGACCCCATTTGGGGTCGAACGACCATTTCACAGGGGTCGCCAAACAACACAGTCCGCCATTTTTCCCCCCCTTTTCCTTAGCTGTGCTCCTCCCTTTTATTCTATTGGCTTTTGAAAGCCAATAGAATAGACTCTCTTGAATAGAGTCTAATTCTATTGGCTTTCAAAAGCCAATAGGAATTGTCCAGGCTGTCTCTGCCCTGCTGAGCCCGCCAAAAGTCCCAGTCTGCAAACGGTGCTGCACCAGTTGAGTAGTCCTCGACTTACGACTGGTTGAGCAGTCCTCGACTTACGACCGGTTGGGGGTCGCAGCATTAAAAAGGTTGAGAACCACTGCCCTAGACTTTTTTGGGATCAGAAAGAGACACAGATAGACAGATAGAAAGCAGATACATAAATAGAAGAGAGATAGAGGCATGATGGGTAGATGGGTGGATGGATGAATGAATAAATAGAAGACTGTCGGACACATAGACAGATCGATTTGAAAAACTCAGCGAGTGAAGTAATCAAAGAGCTTCTCCCATTTCAAATTCTAGGTTACTTTTGGAGCTGCTGGAACTTCTCTTTGACAAATTCAACGCCGTGGCCGCTGCTCACGCCGTCGTCCTAGGACATCTCCAGCAGACGGTGTCGCCTCCTGCCAGCCAGTATGATGGCGACATTAAGTTGTACGACATGGCGGACGTATGGGTGAAGATCCAAGACGTCTTGCAGGTAAGAAACTCCCACAAATATATATATTGCTCCTCGAAGCACGAAGCTGAAAACACCAGCCTGAAGATGACGAATGGGACTTCATCGAAACGTTGCCAATACACTTCCCAGGGAGACTTTCCCCACTCCCTGCATTGCCGGGACGTATTACAATTGGGTTGCGAAGGTTTCCGCCCTTGTTTTACAGCGTTGTCGTCTTCTGGGTGAGGAGAACAGGGCTTAAAATGCGGGTGCTAGGAAAACCGGATTTCTGCGCATTACAGCTGAGATGCTACAGGAAGGCCTAATGCAGAAAGTCCGGATGTTCTAGTCCAGGGGTCTTTAAACTTGGCCCTTTTAGGACTTGTGGGCTTCAACTCCCAGAATTCCTCAGCCAGCGTGCCTGACTGAGGAATTCTGGGAGTTGAAGCCCACAAGTCATCAAAGGGCCAAGTTTGAAGACCGCTGGCTTATATGGTCCATGCTGGCTGAGGAATTCTGGGAGTTGAAGTCCACAGGTCATAAACAGGCCAAGTTTGAAGACCCCTGGCTTACATGGTCCATGCTGACTGAGGAATTCTGGGAGTTGAAGTCCACAGGTCATAAACAGGCCAAGTTTGAAGACCCCTGGCTTACTTGGTCCATGCTGACTGAGGAATTCTGGGAGTTGAAGTCCACAGGTCATAAACAGGCCAAGTTTGAAGACCCCTGGCTTACTTGGTCCATGCTGACTGAGGAATTCTGGGAGTTGAAGTCCACAAGTCATGAAAGGGCGAAGTTTGAAGACCCCTGGCTTACATGGTCCATACTGGCTGGGGAATTCTGGGAGTTGAAGTGCACAAGTAATCAAAGGGCCGAGTTTTGAAGACCCCTGCTCTAGTATAAAATGGACCAGCTGTTCAGATAATTTTTCAGAAGGGGACGAGCTGGCAAAATAAAGCCAGGTCATCTTGCTTCCATGTACCACTCCATCCTGATATGATTATATTATATTCAGAGAAGAACACAGATAACACCTTCGCTCTGTGAAATGCATTGGGTGCCCATTTGCTTCTGAGTTCAATTCAAAGTGTTGGTTGTGCCCTCCTACATGGCATGTTTTTGCCCTGTCCCGTTGACCCGTCCCAGCCAGTCAAGCAGGGAAGACATATTGCAGACCCCATCAGTTAAAGCATTCCAACTGGGGAGGTCAAGGAAGAGAGGCTTCTCTGCCGTTGTCCACACCCTATGGCAGTGGTTCTCAACCTTTTTAATGCTGCAACCCCAACTGGTCGTAAGTCGAGGACTACTCAACCGGTCGTAAGTCGAGGACTACTCAACGGGTGCAGCACCGTTTGCAGACTGGGACTTTTGGCGGGCTCAGCAGGGCAGAGACAGCCTGGACAATTCCTAGTGGCTTTGGAAAGCCAATAGAATTAGACTCTATTCAAGAGAGTCTATTCTATTGGCTTTCAAAAGCCAATAGAATAAAAGGGAGTAGCACAGCTAAGGAAAAGTGGGAAAAAATGGCAGACTGCGTTGTTTGGCGACCCCCGTGAAATGGTCGTTCGACCCCAAATGGGGTCCCGACCCACAGGTGGAGAACCACTGCCCTATGGGATATTCTCCCCCCCCCGGAGGTGAGGCGGACCCCCAGTCTCCTGACCGTCGCAAAAAAGAATCAAAACGTGGCTGTGCAGCTTTGCGCGTGGCACTCAAGGGACGGGCCGTGGGACTGGCTGGTGTCCTGAGAGCCCTCCCTCCGCCTCTTGAGTAGTTTTACCAGCATTTAATCCTCCTCGTACAATGGTAAATTTTTATCCATTGCTTTTATTTTTTTAACATTTTATTGTATACCACGCATGATCCCCCTCTGAGGGAGACAAGCAGTTCAAAAATGTGAATACTAAGTAAAATAAATAGCCCGGCTGTAATTTACTAAGGGGACTGAAGTGGATCCCGATTTCTCAATTTTTAGCCTTAGTCAGTGTGGTTTAGTCAGTTATAGGGTTTCCTGCCTGAGCAGGGGGTTGGACTAGATGACCTCCAAAGTCCCTTCTAACATCATTTATTTATTTATTTATTTATTTATGAATGAGACTTATATACTGCTTTAAGTGCAAGCACTCTCTAAGCGATGTACACCAGTAAGCAATGTATATATATATTTACATTGCCCCCAACAATCTGGGTCCTCATTTTACCTACCTCAGAAGGGTGGAAGGCTGAGTCAACCTTGAGCCGGTGAGATTTGAACCGCTGACCTGCTGAACACAGTCAGCTAAAGTGGCCTGCAATACTGCACTCTAACTGCTGCGCCACCTCGGCTCATGATAATGATGATGATGATTAACGAAGAGAAAGACAAGGGGGGACATGATAACAGTATTCCAATATCTCAGGGGCTGCCATAAAGAAGAGGGAGTCAAGCTATTTTCCAAAGCCCTTGAAGGCAGGACAAGAAGCAACGGGTGGAAACTAATCAAGGGGAGAAGCAACCTAGAACTAAGGAGAAACTTCCTGACAGTTAGAACAATGAATCAGTGGAACAACCTGCCTCCAGAAGCGGTGAATGCTCCAACACTGGAAGTCTTTAAGAAGAGACTGGACAGCCATTTGTCCGAAATGGTGTAGGGTTTCCTGCCTCAGCAGGGGGTTGGACTAGATGACCTCCAAGGTCCCTTCCAACTTTACTACTATGATTATTACATGATGATGATGATGATGTCTGACACATTGTCTTTATAGGAGCGGGGGTTAGCTGTGTCCCAGACATTTTGATTAAGCTGGTGTTTAGGTACAATATTTCAGACAAAAAGGTGCAGCATCAAAAGCAGAGCAAGGTTTTCAGCTTGGACAATTTTGTGCCCAGCACAGTGGTGAGAATGTGAGAGGCCTTCTGGACAAACCAGTAAATAGTGGTTGATTACAGGTGGGCTTCAAATCAGAAGCAAAAAGGTACAACAAAATAAACCCGGATAGGGACCTTGTCCCAGGATCGTTGCAATTTAAAGTTCAGTTTGGCAGGGCAGGGAAAAGAGAGAGATGTCGAAAAAATGCAAATGTTAACGCGCCGGTGGTGAAAATGAACGAATATTAGATACTGAAGCGTTGGTTTCTGTCCGAGATGAGGTTTGAGGCTTGCAGGAAATAAATTCTTAATAAGATAGCAGATTGATAATTGCTTAATTAGATGGCCCAATTCACGTGGGAACGTTGAGGAATAAGAGTGCTCTTCTTTTCACTTAAAATCCATGATTAAATGCATGAGATGCATTTTGCTCTCCAAATGCACAGAGGACCTTCCTAAGTTTGTACTCTGAACATGAAGTCTTTTGCACGTGAATGAAGGCGAATATACGAAATCCACAAGTCATCAAAGGGCCAAGTTTGAAGACCCCTGGCTTATATGGTCCATGCTGGCTGAGGAATTCTGGGAGTTGAAGTCCACAAGTCATCAAAGGGCCAAGTTTGAAGACCCCTGGCTTATATGGTCCATGCTGGCTGAGGAATTCTGGGAGTTGAAGCCCACAAGTCATCAAAGGGCCAAGTTTGAAGACCCCGGGCTTATATGGTCCATGTTGGCTGAGGAATTCTGGGAGTTGAAGTCCACAAGTCCTAAAAAGGCCAAGTTTGAAGGTCCCTGGCTTATATGGTCCATGCTGGCTGAGGAATTCTGGGAGTTGAAGTCCACAAGTCATCAAAGGGCCAAGTTTGAAGTCCCCTGGCTTACATGGCCCACGCTGGCTGAGGAATTCTGGGAGTTGAAGTCCACAAGTCATCAAAGGGCCAAGTTTGAAGACCCCTGGCTTACATGGCCCACGCTGGCTGAGGAATTCTGGGAGTTGAAGTCCACAAGTCATCAAAGGGCCAAGTTTGAAGACCCCTGGCTTATATGGTCCTTGCTGGCTGAGGAATTCTGGGAGTTGAAATCCACAAGTCATCAAAGGGCCAAGTTTGAAGACCCCTGACTTAAACGGGTGTGCATATGAGCTGTTCCGTCTTGTTCCAGCGAAGAGAGCACACAATGACGGAAGTCCATTATAGGAAAGGAAGTCTGATTCTGTGTTATACACTGTTAAGGATAAGATTGCCTGCTGCATTTTGTTTCAAGCCGAAAACAACCAATGATGCATTGGCGGGGAAGCAGGAAAACATTCTCCACTCGTTGAAATAAAAGAGCTCTCTTTTATATAAACATTGTGCTTCCCGGCATGTGGAGTGAGACGCAGGACAGAGAGATGATGACGAGTGATTGACACAAGTGACAGAACTTTGACTATGCAGGCGGTATAGACCTCAGGGATTAAGCACCCTGCTTTTCTCAAAGATGGGAGGGTCCTCTAGAAAATTCTCGTCATTTGCCAGAATTGTTATAATCCTCCTACAACCCAGGGAAGATCAAAATGGGGAAAGCTGATCTGAACTGATCAGCACGCTGGCTGAGGAATTCTGGGGGTGGAAGTCCACAAGCAAGGGTCTTTATACTTGGCCCTTTTATGACTTGTGGACTTCAACTCCCAGAATTCCACAGCCAGGAATAAAAGGGCCACGTTTGAAGACCCCGGGCTTATATGATCCATGCTGGCTGAGGAATTATGGGAGCTGAAGTCCACAAGTCATAAAAGGGTCACGTTTGAAGACCCCTGGCTTATATGGTTCATGCTGGCTGAGGAATTCTGGGAGTTGAAGTCCACAAGTCATCAAAGGGCCAAGTTTGAAGACCCCTGGCTTATATGGTCCATGCTGGCTGAGGAATTCTGGGAGTTGAAGTCCACAAGTCATAACAGGGCCAAGTTTGAAGACCCCTGGCTTATATGGTTCATGCTGGCTGAGGAATTCTGGGAGTTGAAGTCCACAAGTCATAACAGGGCCAAGTTTGAAGACCCCTGGCTTATATGGTTCATGCTGGCTGAGGAATTCTGGGAGTTGAAGTCCACAAGTCATAACAGGGCCAAGTTTGAAGACCCCTGGCTTATATGGTTCATGCTGGCTGAGGAATTCTGGGAGTTGAAGTCCACAAGTCATCAAAGGGCCAGGTT